GCCGATTCCAACTGACCCCAGCATCACACGGTCTCCAGATCCTGAGACCATCAATCAAGTCTTCCTCTCTCTGTACAATCAGCTACAGGCAGGATTTTTGGTCATGTGTCCCCCAGTCAATGTTCGCTATGGGTCCAAGGGCATGCCCAGCCTCTATGCGGAATGGCTATACCAGCTTGTCCACGGAGACCAGATGAAGATCTGCTTTGCTTGCTTCAAGGCAGCTTTCCTAATAAATAGAAGATTACTGGCGATGCAACACTGGGAAGGAGAACCGCGGGAAGATAAGAACCAGGAACTATCGGGGTCGGGAACCTCACCAGAGGAAGACCCTGAGCAGGAGGAAGACTCTGAGCCGGAGGAAGAATCCCAGCCGGAAGAAGAATCTCAGCCGGAGGAAGAATCTGAGTTGCAGGAAAAATCTCAGCCAGCAAATGAATCTGATCCAAAGGAAGAATGTCAGCCGGAGGAAAAATCTGATTCAGGGGAAGAATCTCAGGTGGAGGACTGGTTAGGGCAAAGCTGGGCAGAGGGCCAAGAAAATATGTTTCGTATTACAGTGCAAGTCCATAGTCCTCACATCCTGACCCCGGGCTCTATAGGGACTGAGCTGCAGCCTGAGCAAGCTGTACTCCTGGACCCACGCCCTGAGGATTATGACAGGTATGTGGCATATCCCTGGAAATTAGGTAGGTTCTCTCCCTGCCCCCATCAGTGCATCATCCCCCCTCTGTCCTTCTGGGATATTTTCAATGAGGACCTACATTCTGACGAACATCTATTGTTAGAGTTGAGCCACACCTGGCCCACGAACCCGCTGGTAGAATCCTGCTTGAAGAAACAGAATTTCTTCTTGGTGTTGTGTGGCTCCGATACTGGCTGGTACTTGGTGTCAATGACTCCTTTATGGGTAGTGAGGACCCAGGTAAACCGCTGGCAGATGATGCTGAAGCCTGATGCCTTGGTGGTGTTCTACCTAGAGACTGGACCACAAAAGCAGGACATGAACCGCTGGAGGCTCAGCATGTTGGAAGCCTCAGAACTGGGGTTGGAGCTGGTGCCTGCCGACTGCACCCTGCTGAAGAAAGGATTCAAGGTGCACTCCTACCTGCCCTGGCAGAGTGAAACCCTAAAGGACTGGGGCAGGGAACCAGGGGAGAGGCTGTTTGTCAAACATATTCTATTTCTGAAAAAACTAGGCTTCCTTTTCTGAGCCTTCTTTTTGAATCCCAAATATCTGAGGCACTGATACTTAAGCAGCCCCTATTGCCCCAGAACCACAGGGAATACGAAGAGCCGAAGGTTGCCTATTCTGAGCCTCAGGGGAACGGTTGTTTCAGAATTTTAGGGGAGCATCTTGGACAGTCTAGGACCTTCGGGACCTCAGAAGGAAGTCTGGCATGTTTACAGCAGGAGTTTAGCTGTGCTCTGCTGAAGGTTCAGTGTTTGGAAGGTGAGGACTAGCTATATGTGTAGGTGGGGTGTTCTTTATCGGGTGTCCTGGGTGAGTAGTCAGAGTTTTGTCCACTATGTGCATGTGCTCTATGGTCCTGGATAACCTGGCTTGTGAGGTAGTTAGATCCTGTCTTAGGGGGTCATGATATTGGGTTTTAGGGTTTACCGTACAGAGTATTTATGCTCTTTGATTTTATTCATGACCTTTTCACTGTTTCTGTTGAATAAAGTTGGTGTTTTAAATTCTATTATTTGATGTGGATGGTTTTCTCTTGACATGGTGTCCTTATACTTGGAACTGCAGCAGCCAGAAGGGGGCGTCAGATCTCCTGAAGCTGGAGTTACTGAGGGTTTTGAACACTGTGGGTGCTGGGAATCAGAGGTAGGACCTCTAGAAGAGTAAGGAGCGCTCTTACCTGCTAAGCCATCTTTCTAGCCCCAGTTGTCAGTGTTTAATGGATGCCCCGGGCAGTTTTCCACAGTGGGTTTGATGGAGAAACGTCCTCCCCCACTTCTGGCTTCAGGGTTTGAGGGCTTTCAGTCCCACGAAGCTGGGAATGGGGCACAGTGGGTTCTGATCCCTCTGAGTCACGTGAGGAGAATGTATCCCCAGTCACAGCCTTCATAATCAGCGGAAGCCCCTCGTGGAAGAGCTGTGTGTCACTGATTGACACAAGAATCTGCCCTAGAGGTTGGCAGGGATCTGTGTAGCGTTCCCAATGTCTGATCTGCTCGTGTGAGACTGTGAGACAGCGCTAGTGAGACCTCAGCGTGGGCATGCTCTGCTCAGAGGGAAGGACACACAAGGGGACTAGGCGCACATGGACCTCATCAATGGACAGTAAGTGCCCGTTGTCTTCTGCCTGTGCAAGGCCCATCTAGAAATTTCTGAAGATCTCTGGGTGGCCCTGGCATGCCTGGTGATTTAAGTGGTTTAGTTATTAATGATAGGAAGATTCTAATCTTGGAGGAATCTTGCTGATTAGTTAACAACATGATAGGATCCGACTATGAGTTTTCTTTGCTTTATTTTTTTTTTCCTCTTTGAAACAAGGTTACTCTGTAGTCTAGGCAGGTAGGCTCAAACCTCAAGATCCTCCTGCATTCAGTTCCTGATTAGGGGGATTACAGGTGTTTGCTATTACCCACGTCAAGCATTGCTCTTTACCTAACTTTGAGTGTCTCTTTTCTTTCTTGTCTTCAGGAGTCTTACTTCTTGACAGCAAGGTCTGATGCTCATTCTTAGAGAGGGCATCACACTGCTGTATAAAGAACACAGCACAGTAAGGAGGCGGCAGCCTTGTTGTTGACTTCAGTGGTCCGGAGCCCGTGGTCTTTGGGTAGCTAACTCTGCCTTCTAAACTCGGTCTGTCCCGTCCGTGGTTCATCCTCTCTCCTTCCTGGTGAAGCATCAATCGCAGCCAACACTTCGTTGTTTCATCTTCACTGTTTAATTTAACTTTTACTGTTGTGTGTGTTTGAGAACATGGGAGCACACACGCCATGGTTCTCCTGTGGAGCTCAGAAGATGACTTTCAGTAGTTCACTGGTTCGCTCAGGTCATCAGGAAGAGATTTTACCTATCAAGCCATCTCATTGGTCCTTAACCCGTTTTTTTGTGCAGACCCTTTTTGGAGGAGGTTTTATTTTATTTTTTTATTTTATTTTGTTAAACAGGGATTATCTGTGTCTTTATGGAGCCCACCCTGGAACTTGCTCTGTAGACCAGAATGGCCTTGAACTCACAGAGACCCGGGTGCCCACCCCAAGCAGTCAGCAGTATTTTGGGGGAAATTGGTATGGGGAGAAAGTGTTTGTTTGGCTCACACTTCCACATTGCTGTTCATCACTGAAGAAAGTCAGGACAGGAACTCAAACAGGACTGGAACTGGAGGCAGGCAACACTCTCAACAGCTGAACCACATTCTCTCGCCTCACAATCATTAACAAAAGAAGAACAGAAAACTATTAACAGTCACACGTGTGTAACAACCTGCACAGGTAAGAAGGTCATGCACCAGAGAACACTTCAAAGCTTCAGGACATAAAATGTGGAGATAAACCCACCTATGGTTTGCACTGGGAAAACATCCACGTCAATTGCAGATGATGTGTGAGCCTACAGCCTCCTGATTACTCAGCCAATGAGGAAAGAGGGGAAGAAACCACCTTGCAGGGTTATAAATGCAGGGCACACTCCACCCTGAAAACCCCACCCACGTGTGTGCACACAGCAGGGGCTTCCTCCTGCCATGGATTTCCCACAGACCACACTCAAACACCTGTTCTCACAGAAATCTTTTATTTGGTGGGAAATAGAGTTAAAGCGGCTGCTCTCTGACTCAGGCAGAAAAACAGCAGCAATGGCCTGCACGTGTCATGTTCAGAAGAGGAAAAGGCAGTTTGTGTTAGAATGGCTAGGATGCAGTGGTATATTTGTGTTGGGCATGTTATTTAGGCGAACCAAAGGGGGCTATAGCTTGCTGAACTTCTGTCCTCATCCTCAGGAAGGATTGTGGCATAGGAAAGCATCCATGTACGGGAACAGGCCTTGCTGCTAGCCTTGGGGATGTGATCTAACAGATTTGTTTAGCAAGGCAGAGGGAAAGCAAGAAGGACAAGGCCTGCTACAGCCGTGTTTGCCACGATTGCACTGGTCAGAATTCGTTCAAAAAATGTAAAAATGACGGTGCTTATAGGAACTATAAAGTCAAATTGGACTTGAGATGTAAAGAACTGGACAATATCCTTTATTTAATTGCCTGGTTTTATATAATTTTAACAAAACGGTTGTTTGTGCAAGTTAATATAGGTCACCATGTAGCACAAATTCTAATTGTCTTAATAATAAAAACCCAGAGTCAGGTATTGAGGTAAATACTGAAAGAACAGAGACAAAGAAGCCGGTCACTAAAGAGACTTTTACCTCTACCAAATCCTCACACTGAAGGGGGAAAGATTCTGTCTCTAACGAATCCGCAAACTGAATGTTCAGACTGAAAGCCCTGATTTCCTACCTCCTCCCACATTATGTTCCTCTCTCTGCCCATCCATATCACTCCTGTCTCCACCTCCCTGGTGCTGGGATTAAAGTCATGTGAAACCAAGTGCTGGGCTTAAATGTGTGACTCTGTTTCTCTTTCAGACTGATTCACTATTGTGTAGAGAGGAGTACCCTTGAACTCCCAGAGATCAATCTGCCTCTGTCTCCAGGGTGCTGGGATCAAAGGTGTGAGCCACCACAGCCTGGCCTCTATAGCCCACTAGTGTGGCTAGCTCCCCACTCTGATCTTCAGGCATGCATTATTTGTTAGATCTTAAACAAAATATCACATCATGAGGTTAACTGATGATTTTGCTTCTGTAAAAAAAAAAAAACTTGTTTTATTCAAGATGATCTACTACTCCCCTGTAAATAAATGTAATGCTATGTTTTTTGCCTTTATAAACCTCTGACTTATGGAGCTGGAAGCTACATTTCGATATAGACCTGGAGCCAATATATGAAGAAAAGCTTCTTCTTTGTTACAATGTGTCAATGGTCAGACTGGTGAATGTCTGAAGGATCACAGACCCATTAATGTATCACTTCCAAGGCAGGGAGCCTCCAGCTGTATCAAAGTGCAGAAAGCTAGCTGTAAGCAAGGAATGCCACTTTAATTCTCTTTACTTTAGAATATGGGTGTAATATGACAAGCTCCTTGAGTTATGGCCTTCATTTCTTAAAATAGAAAAAAAAAACTACAGTGAGTGACCTGGAATTGTAAGCCAAATAAACCTCTTATCCCCAAAGTTTCCTTTTGTTAGTGAATTTTATCACAACGACAGAAATGAAGATGGACCATCCTCTGTCTACCCACACATGAGCACAGCAAAGGGACTTATCAGCAAGTCAGAATTTCCCTCATGAATTCTGACCAGATCAAGTTTAGAAGAAAGCAATGAAGACCAGGTGACACATGAACACCCACAAATATTCCTGAAGAAAAGCAATGTTGGACTTGTTGGGTCTTGTTGGAAGGTAAAAGGTTCAACCCAAATTCTGGATTTGAAAAGCTACCAAACCCACCAATCCCAGATCTCAAAATCCTACGAATCCCTAATGTGGAAATCTCCACTGTGCAAAACTGTGCCCTGAGAAACCCTTCATATAACCTGCCTCCTGCTCAGATCCCTGCTGCTTCTATGTTGAGCACAGGCAGCCACCATCTGTGTCTTTCCCAATAAATCTCTTGAGTGAGGTTTGTTGTGCAGTGTGACCCTGTGGCTCCTCACAGCCAGAATAGATTTCCCCTCAGAGCCACAACACTTCCCACTGGGGAAATCTTTCCCCTCAATACTGTACACCAACACTTCCCTTAAACCATGAGGGACAGCACAGGAACTGTCTCCTACCTGACTTGAAAAGTAAGCAACACAGCCTGGTTATTTGTGAAGGAGGGGTATGGCAAAGGTTTTAAATAAAAAACTCTGTTTTGATCAGTCCCATGCCATCTCTGGAACATCGAATCAAGTGATAGTGTTTCTCTCACCCTAAAATGTGAAAACAATTTCAACAGCATTGAGTGGACACAGAAGCTTGTCTAGCTGAGGCATGGCTTTCCCAGACTAGTGCCGGCTCTGGCGATGCTGTGACTGGACCACGTCTTCAGCTGGTATTGTGGAGGTCCTCTGCAGCAGCTGATCTGTCCCCAGAGTGACCTTGTCTACAACAGCCAGGCTGACAGGAGGGTGGGACAGTCATGACCAATGTAATGC